AAAATATGGCGATGTTTCGCATGGTACTAGCTATGTCCTGTACACATTTAGTTTCACACAACTCTCTCGGTTTCGAGAATTCAATACCTATGTATATTTTCAGCCACGAAATTTGAATAATTCCAGATATTTCGAATATTCACAACCAAGAACGGTGGTGACAACATTTTTAAAATTAAGGCGATGTTTCTCATCGTATTAGCTACTACGTCTTATACAAATTTAGTTTCGCACAACTCTCTCGGTTTCGAGAATTCAATACCTATGTATGTTTTCATCCACGAAATTTGAATAATTCCAAATATTTCGAATTTTCACAACCAAGAATGGCGGTGACAACATTTTTAAAATTAAGGCGATGTTTCGCATCGTATTAGCTACTATGTCCTATACAAATTTAGTTTCGCACAACTCTCTCGGTTTCGAGAATTCAATACCTACGTATGTTACTGTGCATACATAATTTGAGGTGTAAATGTGCTTTATTATGGATAAAGATAGATAGTTTATTTTCCAAATAAAGTTTGGAGGGACTTACTAAAATTATACCCACTGTTTAATTCAAGTAAGGAGCCATTTATGTCAAAAACCATGCTGCCAGCCCACAGATTGATTTGTTGTAGATTGAAGTGAAGTGGGAGCGTTTAAAGCATTTATTATAAATTAATTGCGAATTAAATTAATCTTGTAGCATTATTTTCCTTTTATGAATGGGCTCATTATCGTTTAAAACTAGCACGCAGTCTCGATTATAAAAAATTCAATTTGGTCTTACCATATTTGTCCAAACGTAATTCAAAGTGCAAGACATTAAAAAGAAACGAAGATAACAAAGTGTAGATATGTTTCACATGTAATCAGTCTGCTGACTTAAGCATTATGAGAGTACCTATATTATATGAGTGAATAATAATAATTCTGAAGGTGAACTGAACAATCATCACGTTGTGTGGTAGATATAGGGTGTCCCAAGTAATGAATTATACATGGCGTTAAACTTACCAAGATGATCCATAAAGATCTGCGCTATTTATTCTTTCCGTTTTCCTGCGAAGTTTCAAGTTAGACACACATGTAGTTGCTTGTTTGTGGCATTTGAATTTCTCAAAAAATGTCAAAAATTGCTTGCTTTACACAATCGCAAAAACGAACAACCAAACGCACGCATCTGAATCTGCGCAGTGCGCACATACTTGACACATATGTGTCAGGTCGAGAACTTTTTAAACTACCCTCGTATAACAACTTTTTTTTCTAGAATTTCATTTCGTTGGATAATTTCGAACAACGTGTATGTTCCCATTTGGTCAATTTGTACGGTGACTCCTCAGGTGTTTCTGTTAATGCACACGTAACCGGCGTAATATCGTTTTACTTCTTTTGTTACAGGGTAAGGTGGTAATCCGACCCATAGCCTTCAAACCGGCAGCCATGACGCCTTCAGCCAGATTCGGTATCAGCGGAGAGCGATACGGTTCGACGCCCATCCTCACCAGGCCCGGATCAAGATTGACCCTCTATGGAAGTAAGTCTTATCCTGAGAAGTTTTTTATTCAAACCTGCTTCAAAAAAGTCGGTACGACAGCTTTATTGTTATTTAGATACTTTATTAAATATACCTAATGGCATAAAGCGTGAAACTTTTTTCAAATGTTTCTAGTTTTTTCGCGGATGTTTTGAAAAACGTGTTAACAACGTAAGCCAGAATTTCCTTATTTATTAGACAAACCCATCGGGTTTTTTTATTTATTGAAATATACACACTTTTTTGCAAATGTTTGCAAAGTATTTTTTCAGTGAAATATACAAACCTTTTGCAAATGCTTTTAAGTATTTTTTCGCTGATGCTTTGAAAAACGTGTTAATATAACAAGCGATTATTAGATTCTTTTTCAAATAAGCCATGGTTTTTGGATTATTATTTGGCAAAGTTTACATTTTTATTAAACATACATTGGTACCTATTATTGATTATATCCAAAAAACTGGGTTAAAAAGAACTATGACGTTCAAGCAATTTTATTGCATGGTTCAGTGTCATTTTAGATGAAAAAACAGCGGAGTGCTATTAAATTAGAGAGTGAAAATTGGAGATAGGGGTGAAAATGCACCCCTTTCAGTTTTTTTAATTGTAGCTCGAAAACGAAGCAAATTTTCGCTACAGTTCATAGGAAAAATTATTTAGATAATTGAATTGTCCATCGAAATGGCTTATTTAAAAAATTTAAAAGGAAAATTTTATGCAAAAAATCGTAAATAAATAATTTGAAAAAAGCAAAAATAAATTTTTTGATTTATTTTACTTTCTTGCCTCTAGTTTTTTTTTTGAGTAAAGAGAAAAAAAAGGATAAAATTTACTTCAAAAAAGAGGTTGTACGGTATTTTTGGATGAGAATTGACAGATTAAACCGCTCAAACTTGGCCAATTTTTCGATTTTCGTCGCGTTTACCCTTATACGTTTTAATTATAATTTTTTGCAAAAAAGGAAGGATTCGTTCAAGGATTTTCATCACATGACTTGTTCGAAGGGTCATTAAAGATGAAAAAACCGCGGGGTGCTACTAAATTAGAGGGTTGAAATTGAAGATAGGGGTAAAAAAGCACTTTTGTCGTTTTTTAAATATGTATAGCACGAAAACGAAGCAAAATTTCGATAAAATTTTGTAGAGAATTGAATTTCCCATCGAAATAGCTTATTTAAAAAAATTTAAAAGAAAAATTTAATTAAAAAAATCGTTAATAAACAATTTAAAAAAAAGTAAAAAATAAGATTTTTTTATTTTTTTTACTTTTTTGGTCTAATTTTTTTTAGTAGAAGTAGGTAAAGAAAATTGCTGTACAAAAAAACTAGATGAGATTCCCTTCAAAATAATGCGTTTTCAAAAGTTCTTGGACTAATATTGACTGACAATGAGTTATAACTGGTCAAACTTAAATATTTTTTAGATTTTTATAATTTTTTTAGATTTTTTCATATTTAACATAAATTCGAGTCAAAAAAGTAAAAAAATCGAAAAATCTTATATTTTGCTTGTTTTAAATTGTTTATTAACGATTTTTTGCATAAAATTTCTATTGATTATAGGATTACAAACCTTTTTGTAAATCATTTGCAAGTAATTTTTCACTGCAGTTTTGAAAAATGTATTAACATAACATGCTATTATTATATTCATATTTCGCTTGTTTTTTTACTTATGTTTGTGAAAATATGTCCATTTTTATTAAATACAACTAAAGATATATTTTTTGTTCAATTAAAGATACAAATATTTTGCAAATGCTTTAAGTATTTTTTCGCTGATGCTTTCAAAAGCGTGTTAATATAACTGGCGATTATTAGATTTTTTTTCAAATAAGCCATGACAAAATCCGGTGTCAGACTTTAGCTATCACATCACAGGAATTTCCTAACCTCAAAAAACAGGTCAAAAATTCCAAAAATTATTATATTCAAAAGTTCATTTATATGGTTAAGACCCCGCCGAACGTGAATTCGCGGTCAGAATTGATGGTTCTTTTTCTAAACTTAAAAAAACGAGTCAATAAAGGTCAGATATCACGAATTCTCAAAAATAACAGATTCGCGCCAAATTTGGTATGCGGGGGTTTTCTGGGCCGCTGATCACGGATTCGAGGTCAATTTTTATAAAATTCAAAATGGCGGATCCAAGATGGCCGACCAAATTTTCAAAAAATAACTCATTCGCGCTAAATTTGGTATACGGGAGTTTTCGGGATCGTTGATCACGGATTTGGCAAAGTTTACATTTTTATTAAACATACGTTGATACCTATTGGGAATTTCATTCGATGCAAGACACAAACCTTTTTGTAAATCATTTGGAAGTAATTTTTCACTGATATTTTGAAAAATATATTAACAACATTACAAACGGTTGTCTGTCTTTTATCAGTGTGAATGTATGATTGTTTTGTTGTTTATTTTGTAAAATTTCAATTTTTTTATTTTGCAGCTATCGTTTTTGTTTTAGGATTTTTCTGAAATGTCAAAATATCAAAAATTAGTTAAATTAACCCTTACGGGAGAGGGTTCCATTTACAAAATTATTTTGTTTAAATATGACTGTGAAAGAAAATGAGTTTATGAAAAAATAAACATTATTAGTGGTCGAATCATTATAAAGTAGGTTTTATCCTGGGGATTTTTTTTATTCAAACTTGCTTAGAAAAATCTCCCTATGAAAACCTTATAAAATCTATATTTAACATGCCTGAATGGAATTTTTAGTCACTAACACTTTTTCAATATTTCATCACGTTTTTTCGCTTATGTTTTGAATTATGTAACAAAATAAGAGCGATCATTTTTTCTTTTCAAAAGAAAATCTTTCCGTACAGTAAAATTTCACATTCTAAAGAGAATGTAAAGACAGAGTAATCCTTTTACTCTTTTTAGATTTTTTTGCTAGAGAGAATATGATATACAGAGCGTTCTTGATAAAGTTTAATAGTATATTCTACTTCACAAATCAATAAAACAAGTTCGCTTCGCTTTCAATATATAGGATATTGGATTTTAGAAAATATGTAACATTTATTTAAGTAGATATCTCTGAAGATGCTTAACAAATATAAATGAAACTGGTCCACAGATCTTGTGTACCAACTTATATTTAAACAAATGTGATATACGTTTTTAAACTTTAACTTTTAAACACCCTGTATCTCGAAAACAAGACGTTTCGTACACATGTTTACATAAACTTTTTTATTGATTTGTGACGTAGATTCACCATTAAAACTAAGCAAAGTATTTCATTGACACTCTGTATATTTTATTAACACCTACTTGCCCTTTCTTTTTTCTTTTTTTTATATTGCACCAGGATCCAAGTTCTCGAAGTAATTTGACACACATCTTTCACCTTTTAGTAAATAATCCTGGTTTCTTTCATTATTATTTTTAATTAATTTAACTGTATGTAAATAAAAAAAAATGTCAATTACCGATAAAATGTAACAGGTTACTTCTTGTTTGGTTACAATTATTATTTAGTATCAAAACAACTGAATTATAATAGCCAGGTAAATGCGATAAAATTATTTACTCAACCCTCATTTTCCAGGTAACAACGACCTCCACCAGCAAAACGTAAACATAAACAATTATTCCCTGGACCGAAAGCTCCGATCGTCCTGTCCGTCGGCGTCTTCGTCACCGCCTTTGGCCTTAAATTCACTTTCATCTCTTCCTCATAGTCATCAGCTGATCAACTACGACAGTCTGGAGAGCGTCAGAAAGTCGCCTATTTCGAACACGGACCATTCCATTGGGTAAGAGTTTAAATAAGTCTTTAGTACGTATTTAGTATTAAGTTTTTACTGAGAAAGTGATAAATATGAAGATGCCATTTTCCAAGTGCTTACATTTATTAGGAATATACTTATGGAGACTCCAAGTCTAGTTAGTGATATTTTTGTAGTATTAATCAGTGGTTTGCCGTCGCTCGCTTGGTTGACAATGTGCAGTATGGCGATTAGTATGGAGAAGTTATTAGTAACTCGATACTGAGTGTGGATTTTCATTCGCAAATCTGTGAGGACAGAAATTCTTTGCTTGTACACGCGTCACACGTCACACTTGCCTACAATATGCTACAGTTCCCCCTCCACACGAGGCGGTTAAAATAACGTGATTTAGAAGGAAACTGAGGCCGACTCAAAGTTCCTTATAATTTTAGTGTTTCAGTTAGTTCGCGGTTAATGTATGCGTCGCATAGTACGCGGGTANAATGTGCAGTATGGCGATTAGTATGGAGAAGTTATTAGTAACTCGATACTGAGTGTGGATTTTCATTCGCAAATCTGTGAGGCCAGAAATTCTTTGCATGTAGGCGCGTCACACTTGCCTACAATATGCTACAGTTCCCCCTCCACACGAGGCGGTTAAAATAACGTGATTTAGAAGGAAACTGAGGCCGACTCAAAGTTCCTTATAATTTTAGTGTTTCAGTTAGTTCGCGGTTAATGTATGCGTCGCATAGTACGCGGGTAGTGTCTGATGTCAGTGTGAGGGATAATACAAAGGTTTTAAAGATACGGACAAAGCAAGTATTAATTTAAAGTAAACAGCTCCCTTACGAAAACGAAGTAATACTAAATTTAACGTAATTTAATAGATAGATCAAATACCTACATAGGTAGCTATAGTCTGTTTAGAAATGAAAGAGAGTAATAAAAGCTTATTATGTATGCAAATCGTAAATAAATGTAGTACTGGTGCTTATATTCAATATTTTTATATTGTTTTATCGGTATAGATGAGGTGTACTTTTAAAAAAACTTTGTGTGACCGAGTTGTACTAAATTGTAGCAGGTAGCTAAAATTTAATCCCCGACAATCCGTCTTTGTCTAAGCCGCTTCAATTTCTCGGTCCATTTCTCTTATAAATAAACAATATAAAAACAGCATTTCAAAACATGAGGCTACTTTAAGCATCATAACCGTGTTAAGAGGGTTTTTAGTAATTCAAATAAAATTATTCAATATTATTATCAAAAAATAAATATAAATTTAATGAATAGACTTTTATTCCGCACAAAAATATATGTATTTTGAAAATTCAAATTATGATGAGTAAATGTAGTGTTGTACAATAATTAAAATTCATCCTCTGAATATTCTGACGAATTATCTTCGTCTACTAGCAGGTACGTAATCTGATAAGCTCGACATTTTACCCAAACAATATTTTATCCACTGGCACAATAGTCACTATAGTAGGATCGTATACGATGCAAAGTAGAGCAAAAAATTGTCGGCCTTTTATCAAAGGAAAATCGTGTCATCATTTTTAGGAGGCGTA